GCTCTGCAGATATTGTGTTGCACACGTTTCTTTTTCATTTTCTTAAAATGATCCCACACTTTTGAGCTCCGTTGTCAGGTAGCCATGATACCAGAGCCTGTCTGTATAATTGTGACGTCCACAGCCTACCCCAGTTACCACTACTGTGCATGTGTGTCAAGGACAGAAAGGCAGATGTGGCAGTGGAAGCTGTCAAAGCAGTTTGGAGACAAAAACAAAGTAAAGAACAAAATAAAGATTAATTGATTATTAAATTAGTCATCGATTATTTTAATATTCGATCAGTTGTCGATTAATCGTTGCAGCCCTAAATCAGGGTCCCAACGATAGTCAGGTAATGGGACACATGACCCTCTATAAACAATAGAGCTAATCAAGCCTATTGTTAGGTGATGRYCCTCTTTTACAAGTGACCAACCTGTTTGTCCATGTGGAGGCGGAGCTTATAAGGYTGAGTTTACCTGAAACTCATCAGACTRAAGAAGWCTCTTGGAGGAGAGACGAGACGTTTCATTAAAGARGAACTTGTCCAGAGGACCTACTCATTTTTTCTACCTGGATTCCTGAGATGCATCAGGACATGTCTTCATACTTCTGTGTGGTTGTTGAAGCTCTGACTCTAGGTGCAGTCCTCTCTTTGTGAATCTCCACACATTTTGAATGGGTTTTGTTTCACAATCCTCTCCAAGGTGAGGTTATAACTGTTTCTACCACATCTTTTCCTTCCCTTCACCTCTCCTTTAATGTGWTTGGACACAGAGCTCTGTGAGCAGYCAGTCTCTTTAACAATGATCTTTGTGTCTTACCCTCCTTGTGTCTTCTGGACAGCTGTCAAGTCAGCAGTCTTATCCATGGTTGTGTMKCCTACAGAACTAGACTGAGAGACGATTTAAAGGCCTTTGCAGGTGTTTTGAGTTAATTAGATGATTAGATTGTGGCACCAGGTGTCTTTGTAGCAGTAACCTGAGGAACAGTCCCACTTCAGAACTTTAGTCAACAAATTCCTCATTCCCACGTCTACAGAGAGCAATGACTTCTTTCATTATCTCCAAACCTTTTTGTTTACTATCTACAGGTGGTAAGATAGTAAACAGGACATGGCAACCTCAGATTGATTAAGCACTGTGTGRAGATCTCTTTCATGTACCAAAATGGCCGTTTATCACAAAGGGCTCACCCTTTTTCCAGACTGAATGTCTACCAAAAGTGGATTTGCCAGCCACAAAACCCTTTGAGACCAGATCTCTTGCTGAGATTTTGTCACTCAGGCAAACTTCAAAAGACCCATCTGCATACCATTTCATTTATGGTTTTAGAGCACCCCCAAAAGGCTGGTYTCATAATTACATCATGAACAAATGTCATTCTGTTGTTTTTCACCTGATAAAAGAAAAAAAGAAACATTGTATTTTTCTATCATGATTCAATCATTGTAATAATGCCCTGTTTTTGATTACTTCACAGGTAATCTATCATTCTGTGTGTTTAATCAATTTAGCAGTAAGGGACCGTGAAAAGAAAGATAGATCATGTGACTGTTTTCAGCCAATCCTGAGTTGCACAGTCAGAACAATAGATACTGTAAGTKTGTGCTAGWTTGAGTTAGAGTTCTGTTGAAGAAAGAAGAGAGAGAGGACTGGAGTCCAAGCTCCATTTTTCCCCTTTGGGGACATTTTATTTTAATTTTTTATTTTGTTTCTTTATTTTTCCTTTTGTACTTTTGACGGAGCTATTGGGAGGACACAAAGTTGCGCAGGATTCATGATTGACATTCATTCATAAAGTCAGGACCCAGCCGAGCTGTGAAGYGTGTCGACTGCCGCGTGAGCTGAAAGGTTTGCCACCATCGGAGCACCAGATTATCCAAACAGGACTTTATCTGCCAGTCCAGGGTGAACAGTCAACCAGAGGTAAGACAAGCTGTTGGCCTAAAACTGTTACAAAGTACCCAAGAGGTCTGAAGACTGCTCCGGTAAGCCACGCTGAACTCCACGGCAGCTTGCACGTGTGTGTGCTCTCTAATATGAATTATAATCAAGTTAGAATTAACRCAAGTCGTGTTCTCCCCACATAACTTGGTCTCCTTAATAGTTCACCTTTATAACAACTACTTAGTTGTACTTTAAGCTTTATTTATTTTGCCAGTGTAGAAATAGTTAGAAGTGGTTCAGTTTGAATAACGCTAGAGGTGATTATAGGGTGAGGATGCCACGTTATYATTAAACCTYAAGGTCGTGATAATAATGGTGTTCCTGTTTGCTCAAATAATCTGTCTGTATTGTTATCTCTGAATCCTTGAATACAGGGTATATTATGAAATTTTTCATGCTCGTGTGTGCAATTATTTATTAGGTTTACCATCCAAACTGAAAGAATTCGCTCTTCAGTAAGTGAGACTGAGTAAATTTACAAGATTAATTTCCTGTTTTCACAGGTGGTGCCCCGCTTTCATGCTGAGTTACGAGAACTTAGAATTTAGCAACTTTTCAATAATTAACTACAATTTCCCTACATCTTCAATATTTAACCTTTTCACAATATTCAGATTTTCTGATACTGAATTTTGGGGTTTTCATTAATTGTCATTTATAATCATCAAAATTTAAATAAACATCATTTTAAATATATCAGTCTGTGTGTCATGAATTAATATAATACAAAAGATTCACTTTTTGAATGGAATTACAGAAATAAATCAACCTTTTCTTGATATTCTAACTTTATGACCAGCACCTGTACATTACATTTTTTAAACAGGAAATCTTRTGTGAATGCTGACTCAGCAGAGAAAAATAATAATAAAAAAAGSACAATACCAACCTGCTTTATGTAAATTTGGCAGTTGTAGCAGATCTAGTATCCTGTGTTCTTCATACTGAGCCAAAGGAGTCAGTGTGTGCAGAATATACAGGGCTGAGTGATTGTCCAGAGTTTGAAGCTGTGCTAGCAACACTTTCATTGATAACCCTCTGCAGAGAGACGAAACACAAAAACACATTAACTTAACAAGTTAGCAAGTTCTAACTCAAGAACAAATGCATATTTCTCACCATTTTTCATGCAACAGTTTTAGAGCAAAATTATTTTTGACCATTTTTGTCAAACCTTGAAAATATTGTAATGCATGATCTCATGGATGTCCTAAAACTTGACGCTCATTAACACCGACTCAGTAACTATCACAAGAACTTTTACCTCAATAACTGTTAAAAACTGTCTGTTAGAGCCAGTTTTGTGTTGACTAAGTATAAAGAGATTTGTTGGCCATCTTGAATCAGATTGAGTCCAAATGTTAATCAGTTGTACATCCAATCATTCCTTTGATATTCATTAAAACTCATCCAGTGGTTCATGGGAGATTTTTTTAACAGACAGCTGACTTTAACTATAAATTGAACAAATTTGAAACAAAGATWTGGCAGAATTTGTTAGCATTCATGCTATATATTGGGGATGAATTTCAGCTACTACCACACCAGATTTTACCTCTGTAAAACTGACTGAGTCAGAGGTATTTTTGTGTTTCTTTCAGATYAGCTGACTCTGATCACCATCATAAATCCGATCAAGTCCATCAGTTGCACATGTACATCCACTAGCTGTATTTACATGTGCAAAATTCTTTGATGGGATTCATTGACACGTATTGGGATGATCAGGGTGTTTGATAATTTTGAGTGCTTTTAAAGTTTCTAATAGTCATGTTGCATCGCTAACCRACCCTTAGCATCTAGCCAGGTGAAAATACGTCAGGTTGAGATAGGGTACACCTCCACAGTCAGGTCAGTTTTCCACAACCACAATAACAGGATCAGAATAGCTGTGTTTCCACTACAAAAGTGTGCAAAACTTTGTTGATATTCTGTTAATGTTAAAAAACACAGTTTCACAGCTGCAGTGTTTCCAT